GTCTGGCCATTGACTTGAGTGTTCCTACTGCTACGTTCTCTATTGTGAGATAAAATTTTGCCTTATTTGTGCTCCATGAAGAACGTGCCTGAACATGAGCTAAGCAATGACTCAGATAACTATACAGCAAAACTGAAAATAAAAGCGATCAAACAATTTGGTATCATCATGCCAAGCCAAACACAGAAATATAAATCGTTAAATATCACTTGATGTGAACAAAATTAATGACCTACATAAAACTTTGCTTAATTTATTTTAGTAGCTTCTTGGTTTAAGAATCCCACCTATGAAATTAAAGGAAGAATAACCAGATTTTCAAGAAATACAGGACACAAATTATTCCTTTACTTGAATCAGACACAGCAACTTTGTGCTTATTGGGTTAGATCCAGACATGACCTTCAATAACTGCAAGTGCTCCCTCTCTTCACAGAAGGGCCTCTGATCTTGCTGGAGGAAGGGGGGAATGTGGTTTTTACAGATTCCTGCTTCTCCCTGCAGCTCCCAGCATCACTTCTTATGCTTTCCACACGGATCGCCATCTTCTTGAGTAGCTTTGTCCCCTTCTTCTAGCAGAATAGAACTCCCTTGCTGCAAGTCTAGATCCAACCCACTGTTCTTGGTACACAGATTTATGAAGGCATAGCTGAGAAAACTCATGTACTGTACACATGGCAAAACTGGGGTGGGGATGACATATGTGTCCATGTTACCATGGTGGGATGCAGGTTTCCAACACATATGTGCAGTAAGATAGGCAATGTGGAAACTTCAAATATGACTATGCTTTTCTTAACTATATATAGAACACTATAGAAGTTTATGTATGAGGTGACCTTTATAAAGCTACTATATCTTTCACTGAACAATAAGCATCCCATGATGCCTCATTCTGGACACATATATACTTGACTGTAAGTTGGCATTTTTGAGTCATTGGCTTCCAGGGCCTCATTCAGAGAAAGATTCCATGGTTGCTGTGAACATAGGAAACTTTATAGTGAGTCAGACCATTGGCCCATCTAGCTCATTACTGTCTGCACTGACTGGCAGCAACTCCCCAGGGTTTCAGGCAGGAAGTCTCTCTCAGCCCTACCTGGAGATTGAACCTGGTCATTCTGCATGCAAAGCAGATTCTCCACCACTGAGCTACAGCCCTGCATGCTACACCATTACAAATCATGATAGTACAGCAGTATCTTTCAGTACAACCTTATTTAGTATTGCTTGATGTTAACTGAAACTGCACAGCATGCTGCTATATTTATCTGATCAAAACAATGAGATGGTTTTAATGAAAGCCCACGCTGTGCTCTGGTTCCAAAGAAGAACCCACAGGGCAAGGCAGGTCAGTTCTTGCAGAACCACAGAGAGCTCTGTGGCTCCCAAGGGTTGGCATTTAGCTTAAGCCTTTAGAACCTCTCCTAGGCTCCTCCTCCTCCTCCTCCTCCTTTTCTCAGAACTAGAGTTCCTACAGTGCCAGTCCTCTGGCCTCAGGACAGGCACATCTCTTATGTTCTGCCACCTCCCACTTGGTATGCTCCCAGTCTTGTTGGACCAATGAGGAAATTTGGGAAATACTCAGTTCTTCAGACCCAGGAAGGCACCCATCAGGGTCCTGGTTCTGGTTCTATGGGCCCTGGTGCAGTAGAATCTGCTTCAGGGGGATACAGTCTGCCGGGTTCAGATCCCGTGTTTCCCTGATCACCAGCATCAGGCTCAGCGCCAGGAATCTAGTCTGGCTCCTTAGCCAGTGACTCTGTAGCCACTGGTTCAATATCCTGCTCACTGCTAGATTCCAGGCTTTGGGGGATGCTGCACTCTATTCCCCCCACCCAAGAGTCAGTCCTAACTAGGTTCGCCCCACCTCCTCTCACAGTTTTTCCTGAACAATTTTTATACTTCAGGAAAATTTGGGAGTCCCTGCTAATGTGTCCGGCTTCTGCATAGATGGTGCAGGTGTGGTTACATAAAGATTCATACTCAAAGTATTAGTTTGCTGTTAGCATATAGGAACAATCCATAACTGATACAGAAAAATAACACCATTTTGTCAAAAAGTAGAAGACATGGATTTTATTCACCAGATTTTTTGCACGATGCTATGGAAAAATAGGATACATCCTTTCATTTCGATGAAAAGTAGAATTTGGGGTAGGCTTGACTCATCAGAAAAAAAATTACTTACCAATGGTGAGGCAACACCAGTGGCATATCATTCAGTCCTGAGTACTGGTATATTATTAATGGTGCAACTCTGAGACCTAAAACCAATTAAAGTTTTGCCAATGATTTAAAATTATCAGGATTGTGCTCTACTAGCCTGTACCATGGTTGTAACCAAGGGGGAGCAGGGAGGGGCAGCTGTCCCCCTTAAATCAATAAAAATCAATAAAAATACATAGCTAACTGAGGTTCTCCCCTCCCCCCAAAAAGGCCTGACTCCCTAACAAAAGATCTGCCCCCCCCAACAAAAATCCTGGCTACGCCCATGGCCTGTACTTAGGCCTGTAGCCTTACTAAGACATAAGTAATTAGGACATAGGTATCCCCAATGCTTTTCTTGCACATTGTCATGGCACATGGCATTATGGTGATGTGCAGCAATGCAAGCATGTGGCAAACAGATGTGGCTGTAAAATAGTTTCCACAACGGTATCCAAAAATGAGGTGGAATGCAAAATATTTAATACTTCTCTATAAATCGTTTAATAAGAATATGAAATAAGCTAAGCCACATATGTGTATATCTACACATACATTTTTATTTCATCTTTAGGACTCTGTGTTGCTATTATAGTTGGCAGGTCAGGCCCTGCTCCGAGTACCTTAGGGTTCCCATATTTCAAAAAGTAAAAACCAGGCAACCCTAGAGTACCTTCACTTTGGTGGAAAGAAATATCAGCTTCAGAGAGCAATTCTTAATTTTCTAAGGCTCTAGATCATCATTATTGGAATCCCTGACAGAGGAAGTACAGAGCTGTTTCCCTTACTGCTTTTCATAGTTGATACAAAACAGTCTTAGTTTGCAAAGTGTTTAGGTGCTGAATATGTTGTTTTGCTGTTGTGCGGATTTGTACTGTGATAGTTCTGGGGGGGCTCCCCCTAAACTAGAGCTTTCCAAACTTTTCATGTTGGTGACACACTTTTTATACTTGCATCATTTCACAACACAGTAATTCAAACTAGCAAACTGGAGGTTAAACTAACCCCTTTCCAACCCCAGGAGGAGTGTGGAGAGCGTTCCTGCGACACATCTACACATTGCAGCTGACAATGTGTCTTCACACAGTTTGGAAAGCTCTACCCTAAACCCTAGGATTGAATAAATGCAGGGACACAGACCCTGTATGTGTGCCTGGGACCCATGGGCTCTTGCCACCGCTTGGCAGAGAGAGAGGCAGGCACCCAACTTTTGTAACAGTATGCTCATATTAAGTTGTTCTTAACATTCCCTGTTATTGTGAGTCACCTTGAGCTGAGGAAGCACAGGATAGAAAGAGTCTAAATACATAAATCAACCAACCAGTAGTATTATCTTCTCTGAAGCAGACTCATTATCAGACTTTGTACCATAAAGAAATTTCACTGCAGTCTGTTACATCCTGTAGCTCCTTGTCTGTAGTAACTCACTACTTCTTCCTGTGTTGTGAGTTTGACAGGGGCCTCTACTTATCAGCAAAGTCCTAAAACCCATGCCATTACTCAGGAGCCTATTTCACTATGGTCGAAATTATTTGGGTCTGCCCTGCAGATACCCAAAACACAAAAGGTCCAAATATAAGGCATCATTATTTTCAGGTATGAGAATTTACACCCAAGTTTGAAATTCATGGAAGCATTGTATTAGGTTTATCTATTTTAAGGTAAAGGGAGCCCTGACCATTAGGTCCAGTCATGGACGACTCTGGGGTTGCGGCACTCATCTCACTTTACTGGCCAAGGGAGCCGGCGTTGTTATCTAATACTACACAGAACTGGTTCATAATTACATAACTGTTTAGCTTTTCTTCAGCCATTAAGTCAAATCCCTTACTATTCCATTGCATCCAACAACTGCATCTCTCTTCTGTTGTACAAAATCAAACAGCGGCAAAAACAATAGTCTTGGGGCATTTTCTCACTTTTGCTATTTGCAGGTGAGATTCATTCGCATACTGGCAAATTTAGGTTGCACAGTTAAAGTGGAGTTTTGCAGTACGGAAAGTGATAGGAAAATGCACTGGAAAGTAGTGGATAACAACTGCATGCTGTGATGTTGTATAATAGCACAGCAAACAGATCCAGATGGCTGCTTATGAAACAGGTCATTTGGAAGTGACCTTAGACCCGTCTGTCAGTACCATTTTCTTATGAAGTTACAAATGCCTTAACTTGGTTCCAAGATAACACACCACAGAATCTTACCTACCCTTGGCTTTCAGAAGTTGTGTATAAATACTCATTGTTTACCACCAGAGTTGGCCATACGCTGATTTTTGTTTTTTTGTTCTCACAGGCCAATCCCTCGTGACTTCCTGTTTTATCCAGCATCTCCTACAACTTCCAGTATCTTGCAGTTGCATGATTATTTGCATACTACAAGACTTTTCACCAGCTCAATGTCTGTTACTTTTGACAAACACATTGTCAAAGCAACTGTCTGCTTTAGAGGAAAAGCTCTGTGTCTGTTCAGAGAGAAATTGTGTGTGTGTGTGTGTGTGTGTGTGTGTGTGTGTGTGTGTGTGTAAGAGAGAGAGAGAGAGAGAGAGAGAGAGAGAGAGAGATGCATATATTAGGCCATTTCTTTTTAGTCTTTCCCCTTGCACTGGGGCATTACTGTATGTGCATCATGAGCAGAAGAGATTGTTAGAAAGCTTCTAAAATTTGCAGAACCAATTAAAGAAAGCTTGCATGCTCTGGGGCACCAAAACCTGATATTTATAACTTATAATTTGCAGTATGTATCTTCTTACAGATGGCAGGGCCTAGAAGTTCAGATAAGTCTGCATCACATCATGGCCAGTTTGTTAAACCGAGGTGAGTGTTAGATATAGATTAGGCTCTGCCTTCTGCCACTTTGATCCATGCAGGGCCTCTCATTTGATCTTTCCACAGACTGTTCAGCCATATACCAAGTATTTGTTTCCTCACTCTGCATAATGTTACCAGATCTTTTCATATGTACATTTAAACTGGGTACATTTCATCTTCTCTTTTATTACCACATGTTTCTGATTTCATGCAAAATGTATGTTTTTACTTCTTTCCTAAAATATGATATTCAACCAGCAAGATTACTTTAATGTTCCCGCTAAATGTGCCTGCCGTTTTTTTTTCTTTCTTTAATTTAACAATTGTATGAAGTGTGAAAAGCCTTTGACCATTTTGGTGAAAGACCTGATGAGCAGGAAATGGAAAACCTCTGCCAAGTGAGCATGAAAAAACAAAAGTAAGGAGTATTTCTTTCCCTCATCACCACCACCTCCACATAGGAGGAAGGGAACACATGACTGGACTTCAGAGAGTGAAGAAGAACTCAAGAAAATATACTACAATTTCTTCAGCAGGATAGCTTTACATAATAAAATACCCACTGATGCACAGGCCAACATAACATAAACAAACTTTAAGGGCTGTATCCAACTTAGGATTGCTCAAGAGTAGAATCATAGAATCATAGAGTTGGAAGAGACCACAAGGGCCATCGAGTCCAACCCCCTGCCAAGCAGGAAACACCATCAGAGCACTCCTGACATATGGTTGTCAAGCCTCTGATATTAGAACCTGATAGTAGAACCACTGATATTAAGTTAGCCATGTTTATTAACTTCAGTGGGTCTACTCTGGTTGTGACTAATGTTAGATGCAGCCCAAAATGTATTTTACCCTTTGAGCAAGAAACTATAGCATGATCAGACTGGAGAAAGCGTCATGATTTATTTACTTTCTTCCCCCGAGGAGCTGAAAGTTCCTTATTTATGGTTCACAGGCAGTCTCCCATCCTGAGAGCTTGTAGGACTAGATCTGGTTTGTTTTAGCAGTAGAAGCACGTCATGTTCCTTCAGACTATTCTCTGCTTTAGAAAACAGGGCAGGAGACAATGGTATAGATGGGGAAGTGTGGGAATTTTGAAGTCACTTGACTGCATCAAGTTACAGGCTAGTTCCAAATCACACAGGTAATATGATGTTGACTCCCTCAAGTAAGGGATCTGAACAGCAATGTCCTAGAGCATACCTGGCATCAGTGTAGCACAGAGTAGACATGGAGTAATAACAGTCATGGACATTGAATAAGACATATTTCAGTCAGGAAAAAAGATACATGGATAGAAACAGGATGATAAGAGGAATGGGTAAGCATGAAGATAAGATTGATGGATGATGAAACACTGCAAAAATCCAAAAGGGCCACATCTACACAATGAATCTCCTACATTGATATTGTTGAGAGTTTGGGGGATTCCATTGTTGAAGGAACCAGGCAAGTTTCTTGGTGAGTTAATGGCCCTAACTATGGGTTGTTATTAGTATAGAAAAGGAAGTTGCTTTGTGCCAGAGGGGAAATGGGTGGGTCCTCTCCCTCACCTGGATGGTAGAGAGAAAAACAAAAGGCTCTGTGTGTGAGAGAGAGAGTGGGGGCTTTTATTTTTCTCACTACCATCCAGGTGAGGGAGAGGGCCTGTCCATCATAGGCTCAGGTTATATATGTGTGTATATAAACCATATATCATAAAGACACCACGGTCTCTGCTGTCCCCCATTCACCTAGCAACAGACTAGCAGAAACAGGAGATCATTCTGAATGGGCAGGGAGGAAAACAGAGCTAAAGGATGGAATGGAGATATCCAGAAAAGCACAGGGCCTAGAAGGAAGACTTATCTTGCCATCTGTCACAAATTATTTAATGGGTAAATTATTTAATGGGATGAATGGGCGAGTCTCTATTCTGTTTTTTAAAGAACCCCTGTTCACATTTTTAATAGAAAAGAAAATATATTTGTCTCTTTATAAGGTAAGCAGTATTAACATCACTAGTATGCAAGATTAATGTTGCTTATGGAAGAAAGAGGTTCACAATCAAATCACAGGTTTGCTGCTGTGCAATTCTAAGGCATTAGCTTTGCTTACAAGACAATAGGTTTAATCTCCATATTCCATACATTCTCATTATACATCTTCTGTCAGCAAAATTAAATTAGACAACCTCACTATTTGCATCATCTCGGTATTAATGCTATTTAGAATATAAAGTGTTCCTTTACTTTGTGCTTATGTTCCTTATCACAAATCATTTTGCTCTGGAAGGATAATATTACAGTTCATATATGGTAACAGTACTATTGCTTTTTAATATTTTCTAATACAAAATGCTGTTTTAATATCTCATATTTTCCCTTTTATTTACAAGCAAGTATTCCATCCTTGCTGAATGTATGAAAGGTAAGCAGGCTGCTCTATAATCATAGAATCATAGAGTTGGAAGGGACCCTGTGGATCATCTAGTCCAACTCCCTGCAATGCAGGAATATTTCGCTGGATCAAACCTGCGACCTTGGTGTTATCAGCATCATGCTCTAACCAATTGAGCCATCCAGCTTAGGCAAAACTCAAATTAAACCAATGGCTTCCACAAGGAAAGCAGGCAAAACTTTTTCTATTTTCACTTTATCTATTTTAAGGTAGCTGCTATGTATTGTAAGCAATTTACTGTCTGTCCAGGTTAACTGTTTTTGCTTAAACTTTGAGAAGCAGATTAAGAAAGACACATAACAAAAGTGTCAGAAAGAGTATGTGCCATCGAAGAGTTAGAGGACACACCAAGACAGGTAGCTAGAAGCTAAGTTGATTGCCTCTCTTTAAAGAGAAGCGCATAGCAAACCCCTCATTCTATGCAGTTAAAACTAAGCCCCATACCACCTTGTGAGTAAACCATATAATGACACTATCTGTATATCAGTCATACCTGACACAGTCCAATTCCTCATCAGATGAAGTCTGAAGACATTATGGGTCTCCTGACTACCCTATACACCTAAAGCATCTTCAGAGAAGTGATGTCAAAGTTTCTAACTCACCTGCAGCAGCTGCCTTGCCTGTAGCATAAAAGAAGGTTTAACTACCTCCCAGGCACAGGAAATGCCGAGCATTAGAGGATGCAGGCACAGGCAGCCACCCATCAAGAGAACACATGCTTCTAAGATCAGAAGAACCAGAATTAGGGACCTCCTCAGGAAAAAAAAAAGGATGTCTCAGAAGCAGGGACCCTTGAAGGATGAGCTAACCTGCTGCAGCTGTGCAGACAACATAAGCTCCCAACTGAAGACTTAGTTGCTGGAACAATGCAGCTCTTTAGCAACACAGCTTCTTGAGCCATCTCCCCACTCTGACTGGACCCAAGGCTGGCCCAAGACCTTTTGGCACCTGAGGTAAACCACAAAATGGTGGAAAGAAGGAGTGAGTGAAGATCTACATTGGGAACAAGGGGGACTAAATATCTATATTGAGAACAAGGATGGTGGGGTCGAAACAACAATAATAATAAAATTATAATAATTTACTATTTATACCCCGCCCATTTGGCTGGGTTTCCCCAGCCACTCTGGGCGGCTTCCAACCAAATATTAAAATACAGTAAAACAACCTTGCCCAATGGTTGAAGTGGGAATCAAAAGCCATTGTGGTGGGAGAAAGGGCCCACCCTGAATTACATCAAGTGGGTGCAATGCCCAAGAGACCCCAGAGGACAGCCCCCATCATTTCATCCGGGGGGGGGGGGAGACCAGCAGCAGCTCCTTTTTGCTGAGAGACCACTGTAGAGGCAGTATGATGGGGGCTGCCAACGAGGTGGCAGATCTAGCCTCCATGGAGTACACTGCAGCTGGCGCTGTCATTGCAGCAGTGGCAGGCAGTGCTTTCCTTGGAGGCCGGCTTTTCTGCCCTTGTGGATCCTGGTGCCCAAGGCAGTTGCCTCACCTTGCCTCATGAGTGGGCTGACCCTACCTCAACTCCCTGCAAAGACTTTGCTGAGAAGCATTCAGCCTGCTCTTCGACTGCTTTGCTGTATTTGACCCTGTCTTTGTTTCATTACCTTGCTACAAGAGCAAGCCTGCACTTGATAGGTCTTTCTGTGATTGCCTTCAGCTTCTTCTATAGACCCTGTTTTTCCAGATTACCCTGATACCTGACTGGCCATTTCCTTTCCTTAGGCTTAGTTTCAGAGATCAACGCAGGACAGCACTTTGGTTACACTGTACCACCTGCGTCTTACAAAACAGAACCCATGGGCATCTGTTGGAATTTTCCCCTCAATGCTAATTGCCATGTGGGGGGATTTTGACTGATATGAAGGTTGGTGAGTGAAGGCTTAAACCTGTAAGAAAAACACTGGGGCCTAATTTGATCAGCAGAATGTTTGTTATCTGGTGGGCGGGGCTTGTTTGTTACGCTCCGGAATCAGCCCCTCCCTTCAGTGTGTTCCGTTAAGTTTCAGTTAAGAGGGACCAACTGTCTCTTCTTCTTCTCTTGCCTCAGACTTGCCTCACGCTGTTGTATTTAGTTTCTCTCATTATGTTATTTTGTTACCGTTTTCTTTATTACTAAAGCTTAGTTTACATTTATGTGAATCACTTATATTTCTAAAAAGAAAGAAAGAAACTCTGCTGAGGAAAGTTGTGGAATGTCCTAAATATGAGTAATATTAGTTTACATTTATGTGAGCCACTTATATTTCTAAAAAGAAAGAAAGAAACTCTGCTGAGGAAAGTTGTGGAATGTCCTAAATATGAGTAAGGGCATGGGTCGGCAAGCTAAGGCCCGGGGGCTGGATCCGGCCCAATTGCCTTCTGGATCCAGCCCATGGATGGTCCGGAAATCGCCACGTTGATCAGCGTGGGGATTTTGATTGTTTGGGCTGCACCATTCCCCCCCCACACACACATACACACACATCACGGTGGCACCTCCTCTCTCCCTGCTCCTGGCTTCTCCTGCCCTGCCTAGAGGAGGAAGGGGGCTGGGCTTTGTTGACTGAGCGCCTTTTTAAGCAGCCCCTCTCCAGAGCCAGCCCTTTCATGCCGCTCAAGGTCCCTCCGCCACCGCCAGCTCCTGCCACTCGCAAGGCACAGGTAAGCAGCCACTGGGGCTCGTCCGGTGCTGTGGAGAAGGGAGGGGAGAGTTGGTGGGGGGGATTCCCCTCCCAAAAATATAGTCCAGCCCCCCACAAGGTCTGAGGGACAGTGGACCAGCCCCCTGTGGAAAAAGTTTGCTGACCCCTGAGTAAGGGGATATTCCCTGTTTGCCAGGAGGATTGATTTTGCTAATCACTCCCCACCCCCACCTCCACAACAAGTTTCACCGATATGAAGTTTCGTGAGTGAAGGCTTAAACCTGCCCTTCCTGCACGCTGTGTTTGAGGATAATCACTCACAACATGCTTTGTATTTAAAGCATCATGGTACCTGGGGTTAAGTACTTAATTCGTTCCGGAGGTCCGTTCTTAACCTGAAACTGTTCTTAACCTGAAGCACTACTTTAGCTAATGGGGCCTCCCGCTGCCGCTGCGCCGCCAGAACACGATTTCTCTTTTCATCCTGAAGCAAAGTTCTTAACCTGCAGCACTATTTCTGGGTTAGCGGAGTCTGTAACTTGAAGCGTATGTAACCTGAAGCGTATGTAACCTGAGGTACCACTATATTTACTAGGTCCTTAGCCCCCTCTCTACACCTTTTGCTTTGCAGGGTATTACTTTTTGGTGCAGTGTTACTAGGCACTGTAAATGGGCTGTGTGCACAATTTTGGCAGGCTTACGCTTGTTCCTGTATTCTGCTGCTGTGCAACAGAATCACTGGGTGATCTTGGTCCAGCTATCAGGATAATCAACCTGGGGTGGGTATGTCCAGTGAATTCCTTGAAGGTATTATTTGGCCATATTTGACTAGATTTTAGACCAGAGGTAGCCAACGTAGTGCCCTCCAAATGTTTTGAACTACAATTCCCATCATCCCTGACCATTGGCCCTGCTCATTTGGGCTGATTGGGAGCTGGGTCTCAGGTTCCCCATCCCGGCCCTGTGCATTTGGTTCACAGTACAGGATACATTCTCCTCTTCTGTTCCTCTTCACGATACAGTTATTTGGAAGTGTGCTCCAATGCTTAACAGTTTTACTGAAGGAGATGAGACAGCATACACTTCAGAAAGAAAGAAAACATACACAAAGAAACATTTAAAGCTTGGCAGGCAAGGCTGAAGTCAGGAGACAGATATTTCTTAGTTCACTTTTCTCTCTTAGATAAGCAGGCACACATTCCCAAGAATTTCATAAAATCATTTGCAGTTCTACACATGCACGTACAAGTGCCGAGCTGTTTTACAAGATACACAGAAATTCTTACTCACCCACATATCTTTCTGATGACAGAATCCAGTCACCACTTTGGATCTTCAAGAAGTTATTTATTATATAAACTGGGAGAATAGAGAGGATACCTGGAACTCTTGGATTATAAGCTTAGAACCAGGTTCTAGCTATAAAACAAAATACCCAACTTTGTAATCTGTTGTTGTTGTCTTTTGTTTGTCCTTACAATGATATCATAAAGAAGGTCACTGCTATTCCCATTTTACAGATAATATCAGAGACTGGTGTAGTTTCTTCAAGACTTCTTTCAGCACAACCCTATCCATGTCTAGACAGAAGTCCTATTAAGTTAAATTGGCCTCACACTCAATGAAATGTGTATATTATTATTATTATTATTATTATTAGCCTTCCACACCTCAAAGCAGGGTACAATTAAAACATTTTTTATAACCACAAACGTAAATATGTTTAAAAAACAAAATAAACACCCATGGCAGAAACTCATTCATTCAGCTAGGAAAGGCTATTGAAACAAAAATGTATTCAGTTGTGTTTGGAAACTGCCAATAATAGGCATGCCTCATATCTCATAGATGGGGGACTACGAGCGAGGCGGGAGCCGCTTTGTCACGTTCCTGGTGCTATTTGCCCCACGCTCCTGGCTGCATACTGAATAATTTTTGTAAGGTCTCGAATATAAGTCGCACTCACGGTTGGAATTTGGAGGGAAAGTGTGGCTTATATTCAGGCCAATACGATAATGGTTTTTCATCAGGTAGGGGCTTTAGATAGCCATATGTATGACTTCTGACTTCATTTGTAAAGCCCACAATTAACATTCCTCTTCTCCCCCTCTTACCACCATTCCATGCTACCCAACTGCTCCAACATTCCTTAAATCATAGCACCATCATGACTACTGGAATAAAATGGAGTTTGCTTCTGCTGCACATGTACTGGGGAATAAGCACCATTTTGTTCTTTTAAAAAGGGATAATCTATTTAAAGTCTCTGTAACCATGTACATGCCTGGCTGGTTGCCTTATAAAATATTTTTAAAACTTAAGAAGGAAGGAAGGAAGCTGCAGTGACCAGCATCAGTCCCAGTGGGCCCCAGAATGCTAATTCAGGTGTTGCCGTGGGCCCTGTGCACTGCACTCTACAAGGTTATTTGGGGGCACCTAGTGTTCTGGGGGCTGTGGAATTTGGCTCTGGGGCTCAGCCCTAGTTGCACCTCTGCCTGGGGTGTTTCTATACCCTTGGGACTGTAGCCTGGCATGTTAATTCTAAAAAAATCGGTTGTAAATGGAAGCATTTTCAATTAAATAATATATTTGTTTTATTTTCAAGTAATAGTATGCGTGTACAGCAGAATCACTGTGTGAGAGACGGTTCCCAAAGTCATTTATGGGTATAAAAGAAACAATTAACTTTCAAGAAGCTACAGTAGGGAGGAGCTAATCACATTTACGTACATCTTATAGACATTAGAAAATTGCTGTTGTTTCACTGCATCCTTGAAGTGAGTTGAATGCCTAAGAGATAGCAAAGGCTTAAATGCCCATGTTTTAACTGTAAAACAACAAAACAAACACCCTGGTATCATTCCCTGTTGGTATGAAGCAGAGATTTCCTACATCCTACAGAAAGTAGCTAGATTGGCAGGGAAGAATCTGATGCAATGTATCTCATCTTCAAGGTGAGGGACAGGTCATTTTGCTATGCATATTTATGCATTAATATGCAGAAAAGTGGCTTGGAGGGTTTTTTATAGATATCTTAATTCTGCTGATGCAAAAAGAGAAGGAATTTACAGGTGTCACTTTGGAACACAGACTACTGATAAACAACTTGCCATTTTGCAGTGTCTGGTCACATTTGTAGTCTTTTGGGATGCAAAAGGACTGGAAGGATTATTGCACAATTTAAAGGCACTTCTGTCATTTTAACTTTTATTTTAAAGCTAAATTAGTAGATTTCTTTTTTGTTTGGTTTTCTGCATTGCTTCTGTTAAACATTTAGCTTAGCCTAAATTCAGCCGCAAAAACAAGACAGAAAGAAGGAAACATGCAGCACTTGTCAGAAAACTTTTTTAGTTTGACCTTATGTGGAGGCAGGCTAGCATAAAGCTATGGACAAGTGGATTGTGATTTATTAATATTAGCATCTGTAGACACTTCACACATTTAATGCTTTGATCTGATCCATCAGCAGCACTAAATTGTCATGTAATTGTTTAATTGGTCAAAATATACACCATGATACATAGACTATGGTATGCATGAAGTGCATGAATGTTTAGTCCTGGTGAATAAACACTTTTCTATTAGGACAAATTAAAATATACACAAAGACCAGAACAGGGAGTAATCAAAACAGTTTAATATTGCATTCTTTTGTGGTCGTGCAGCATCTATGCTTCAGCTGATATAAAAATGTTCTGTTGAATTTTATATAGCTCTACAGTTTGTCAAGGTATGGTAATGTTCCTGTAGAAATAAATGGTCGTTTGTTTGTATTTAATTTTCATATTAGTTGTGGGAAGTGTGCTACACACACACACACACACACACACACACACACACAAGAAAATAAAAGGATTTGATTTTTATATACCTCATATTACAGCTGAGCAGTCACACAGCTAGAGTTAAGGATATGAGAAGTATTTCTGAAATCCTTGCAGAATTTCCATCAGGTCACTGTAGTAATAATTATGCATGTATGCAGTTAATGTTCCCTGACTGCTTCTGATCCTCTGTGTCTGTTCCCTTTCTGTGCTCTCCTGTTGAGATCATACAGTCTGAATCTAACATACTGTAAACTGGTCAGAACTCAAAACCCTGGCAAATTATATGCCTTGCCTGTGGAACAGAACACTCTCTATCCCCATACAACAGCAAAGAAAGTATAACACACGAGACATTTATTGTGTAATTGAATGTATATTCTTCACATTAGAAAATGTCTGGAAGAGCCTTAGTTATATTCCCTGCTGTTGTCCAGAAATTATTTCCTCTTATATCAAGAAGTACATTTCTCCTGAGAATTTAATTTCAAGTAAGTGGGCCAGGGTGGGGGTGGGGTGAACAGAAACTCACATCCATGTAAATGAGATAAGGATGACTTCCCCTTTCTTCCTCTTTTAAAACTAGCTGATCATGTTTGCAGGAAACAATGCAAAAGCTACCCCATTCTTTTTTTAAAAAAAGAAAGAAAGCAAACAAAAAATGTGTTTTAGGCAATTATGGAAAACTGTTATAATAGTGTTAGAAAAATGGACAGGTTGTGAGCTTGCTGAGTAGTCCCGACCTTAATCTTGAACTGTTGCTCACATTCATGTCTCTGTAAACATGAACTGCTGTGCTGCAAAATGCTCCAGCCACCCTGCCTTTTTCTTGCTCTTGCTGAAGGCACCTGACTTCTAGCTGAAAACCTTCAGTCCTGCTTCCATCTGCATTGCACAATTCCCATTGTATCAAGAGACCTTGGGCTACAACAACGGATCACAAAGGGGTGGGTGGCTAAGCCTGCCCAAGGCAAAGGCCTTGCACAGGTGCTATTATGGCAGAAAATATTCAGGCATCAGTTTCAAAAACTAGACTGTTTGATATAGAAATTCTGTTACTTTCCAGATACACTAAAACTCTTTCAAATATACACAGTGAATGGCTCTAGCTTTCCTGCTGCTGGTTTTTAAACACCTTCCCCCCTTTTCTTGTTTGCTAACTTTTATATGATATAATGGGGCCTGATTACCATGCTCTTTCATTGTTTTCTCCTGCCCATTTTTTACTCCAAAAAACAGTGAAGAAATGTCTCATTTTCCTTTTAAAAAGCCAAATCCCATGTTTTGCAGCTAACAGCAGATTCAGACAGCTACAGCTTATCTTCTTCTACCTTGGGACAACTAGTCTCGGTCAACACACATGGATGGAAGATATCTGATATTGGTATCATCCGGGACTGCAATATGTTACAGTGAAAAATAACCATTAGAATTCACCTTCAGTTTGATTTCCAGCTGCTAAGCCCTGCTCCTGTTGCAGCCACATTCACTTCAGTGATGTTTGTCATTCGGGCAACATTCAATGGGTTTTTGACTGGAACATGCCTAAGGCACAAAACAGTGTCTTTAAACAAACAGCATCTTCATCGCTTTCTAGCCTGATATACCTGCCCCATCTGTGTTTTGCTGCTGTTCTTAAACATTTATTCGGTACCGGGAGTCTGCAAGTCTCTGTACTGCACCCTGCTTGCAATCTAAACAACACAGGCAGGAAAAGAAAGGCCCATGTTGGATAAAAAGTAGCAAGTACAGGAAGAGAAAGTTTGACTGGTATGTGTCTGACGGATGACTCTATGACAGGGATGGCCAACGTAGTGCCCTCCAGATGTTATTTGACTACAACTCCCATCACCCCTGACCATTGGTCATGATGCCTGGGGCTGATTGGAGTTGTACATCGATAACTTCCGGAAGGCAGCACATTTGATGTATTCTCCCCATCCCCTGCCTCTGTACCCAGTTACTCAATTTTTTTCTTTTTCTTTTTCTTTTTTGCCACTGCAGACTGTAACACCTGGAAGTTATCAATGGCTAGCCTTGAGAAGTGAAAGGTAAGCTGCTATTCATAGAAGCCACAGTGACAGTTATTTAAAATAAAGAGACTATTCCTTCTGTTCTCCCCCCACGCTCAGAACTCCCATTGTTTTCAATGACAATCTTGCTAGCATATGGATGGAAAAGAGGGTCAACCCAATATTCTTAATAGCAGTTGGCACTTCTGAGCTCGCTGCAGGCAGTGACTAATCCAAGCAGGGTGACATCATTTTGGGACTCTGGCAGTTTGTGCTGTCTGAGAAAGATGCTGCTTTTAAACCAGCTTCTGTGCTGTTTAAATAACTGATCAACTGTTCAAAAAAGGATTTATGGAAACACTCAGGTGCAAACATTCAGGTGCTAGTCTTATAGAAAGTAGATCCGTTTAAATCATCTAAGTCATGTCTATGAATTTCAAAGGGTCTACCCCGAGTAGCGTTAAAATTGGCTATAATCCACATTCTTTTCTGCTGTTGGTGAGTGGCTTCCATTTGGCTTTTCTGCAAAAGAGGCAGACATATACACCAAAGATTCTCATTCTGATCCATTCGCCATCAGTTTTACTCCACATTCCACCCATCTCACCTCACCTCACCTATTTTTAAAGTTTGGCCTGTAGATTTAGATTAGTAAATATATGTTTGTCCATGTATTTTGTCTTAAGAAGCACAATAGTAGTGTTTTTTTTAAAAGATATAGCACTACATCAGCAATGAAAGGGAGATGGTTTTGTGATGTCACAGGACCAATCAGTGCTGTCCATAACTGACTTCTGCTGAAAGCTGGCAAACAAGTTTTTGATGAGCTTCACCTTAGCTGTACTGTATTGTAAGTCACTTTGAGTTGTCATAGAAAAAAGCAACTAATACATTTAATAAATAGTAATAATAATATTAGAGATAAAAATATTCATCTGACACAAAGAATATTTTGGCATCATCAGCTGGTATAAATATTATCAGATATGCAACTTTCTCCTGGTTTTGGCAACATCAGTGAGGGAGGCACCAAACCTTTCCTTTGAACCTTCCAGATGTCTTGGCTGTCAGTGTCACCCAAGGTGCTTATTTGTCCTGGAACCTGAGTACCTGAAAGTAAGTCATTATTATGTATTTTTTGTTTTTATGTTATGAACCACCCTGTGATCTTCAGCTGAAAGGCAGTATACATACATACAATAGAGCCAGTGTGGTGTAGTGGTTAAGAGCGGTAGTCTCGTAATCTGGGGAACCGGGTTCGAGTCTCCACTCCTCCACATGCAGCTGCTGGGTGACCTTGGGCCAGTCACACTTCTTTGAAGTCTCTCAGCCCCACTCACCTCACAGAGTGTTTGTTGTGGGGAGGAAGGGAAAGGAGAATGTTAGCCGCTTTGAGACTCCTTAAAGGGAGTGAAAGGCGGGATATCAAATCCAAACTCCTCTTCTTCTTCTTCTTCTTCTTCAATAGCGTAGGGCTGAGTGATCATCTCTGGCTGGTCTACAGTCTACGACTCATTAGGACCATGCAACTTCCATTGCATGGGTGTAATTAATATGCACTTTTTTGTTATGTAAGTACATCGGAAGCTGCCTTAAACTGAATCAGATCACTGGTCTATCTAACTCAGCACTATCTACACTCAATGGCATTGGCTCTTCAGGGATTTATGCAGGGGTCTTTCCCAAACCTACTTGGAGATGCCAGGGATTGAACCTGGGACCTTCTGCAAGCAAAGGAGATGCTCTGCCATCGAGCTACATCAGGGGTCAGCAAACTTACAGCGCCTTGGGCCAGTGCCTCCAGCGCCGATCGCGCGGCGGGCCAGAGGGCGGGGAGCACGTGCCCATACGCGTGCACACACGCTATTTCCAGCACACTTCCAGGTCAGAGGAGCGCATGTGCATGGGCTTCCTCCAATCTGGATGTGCACTGGAAATAACGCGCATGTGCAAATAACGCTTGTGCATGCGCATAAACTATTTCCGGTGCTCCTCCGACCCGGAAGTGGGCAGTTGTGCAGCACAGCGCTGGTATGAGCGGGTGGCGGCAGCAGGCGCCACCACAGGCCGGATAAACAAGTCCTTTGGGCCTTATCCGGCCGGTGGGCCTTAGTTTGGGGACTCCTGAGCTACATAGTTGCTAAGAGGAAGCCTCTGCAATGTTGAGATGGAGAGACAATAGCATCAATGAAAATTCTGTCTTCACACCAGTGGAAATTCCCTTGAAATGCAAATAGCAGCTTTAGAGAGAACATTTTTGTTTGGGCCATGGCAAGAAAAGGGAGACCATTATTAACAGAACAAAAAACACACACATTGATGGCACTCGCACAATTAATATTTCATCTAAACTGGCTATAACAAATTATTGGGGTGTAAACTTTCATAGGCAAGGACAGTGAACAGTGAAGAGATTGCAATTTAAGTGCTTAACCTTACCTTTTTTCCTGCCATTTTTCAACTGGTAGACCTAGTAACTGATGCTGTTTTCAAGTGGGATTCCATCACATGCTAGCAAATTCAGTTTGTGTAATAAAAGTTCTTCTGGTGCTCTTTCCCAACAAACCCCCTCCCCTTCCAGATGTTCTGTTTATTGAGCATTCAACCTGATTTGTTTGCAGGGAGGTTATATGAAATTGCATCAAGCAATTGTTACCCCCCTCCAAATGCATTGTAAAAAGGACTCCTCTTTGTACCCTTTGCTCTCCACCTTGTGTATTTTGCTGCCCTAAATTGAACATGCCTACTTGGAAATAGGCCCCAGTGATTTCAGTTGAGGTTGCTTTCAACTAAATATTGTTGAAGATTTACGGTACATACTGTGGATGCAATCTGGAGAAAAGTAAGCGTGCTTGAAAAGTCTCAGTGAATTAATATGGAAATAACCACCCAGGTCCCACATATTTCAATGGATTTAGGTAAAGGTAAAGGGACCCCTGATCATTAGGTCCAGTCACAGACGACTCTGGGGTTGCGGCGCTCAACTTGCTTTACTGGCTGAAGGAGCCGGCGTACAGCTTCTGGGTCATGTGGCCAGCATGATTAAGCCGCTTCTGGCGAACCAGAGCAGCACACGTTTACCTTCCTGCCGGAGCAGTACCTATTTATCTACTTGCACTTTGACATGCTTTCGAACTGCTAGGTTGGCAGGAGCAGGGACCGAGCAACGGGAGCTCACCCCATCGCAGGGATTCAAAACCACTGACCTTCTAATCGGCAAGCCCTAGGCTCTGTGGTTTAACCCACAGTGCCACCTGCATCCCATTTCAATGGATTTAGATATCCCTAAATTTCCATGGATTATATTTTATGTGTTTCTTGCTGCTGCTGTGAAAATCTCCTTGCACCCATCAACTACAATGTTTGTTTGTTTTTAGCATACCTTATATGTATTGATTAAAACTGATAGCGTGAACAGGATGCCAACTGGGTGTAATGAGGGCAATACATAAAAAGGAAACGGTGTCCTTTGAGATTCTCAAATCTGACAAAAATCCTACTCTCATTTGCATTGCCTGAGTTTCAGTAAGAAAGTAAATTATTAGATTGTACTCCTTTTCTACTCAACAAACCTCACAAAAGTAATAGCAGTTTATAAAATATTTTGCCAAAGGCTTTTAAAATGCAGAATAATTCTCCACTCATAATTGGGTAAACTTTGCTAAAAATAGTTAAACTATAGATGAAAACTGTTGTACCATGGATGCTTTAAGATGTTTAACTCAGGCATCAATGCATTTAAGTGGAAGTTGTCTCTGTTGACTCCCAGCAGAATTTGCTTCCAGGAGAAAAAAAGAGAAGACCTTCAAATAGATTGAATATGGCCCTGAGATGATGTTATTATGCCAATGAAGGAAGGCTACAAAGTTTGGGTTGTTATTTTTAAGTCATGATTTTTCCCACTTATAATATATCAAGCTAGTTTTCAATCCAAATCAAAATGTTACTTGTTTAACCAAACTGAGTCCCCTCCCCACCAAGTAGGAGACTAAATATAAAATGTTTTGCTGCAATTCAGAGTTATTGCTTCCATTGTCATCATGTGCTAATTTTTGCAATTTCATATGTTTAAAATAGCAATCGGGTTTCTCTGACACTTTATCCTTTATAAACCCCACAATATTAATTTATCCACTTCTGGAGGATGAAAAGTGGGTCAGTCCTGTAGACAGCTCATCAGCGTTATCCAAACACGTTTGCACAACAGAATGGACTGGAGGTCTTGTGAGAATAAACAGCTTTGTGTCATTTATTTACTTTTCTAATGGAACAGGACAGGAAGAAATGGTTTCTGTTCAGGATTTCAGCTTTTCTACACTGGGCCCTCAATGGCAGGGCAGATGGGGGGATAGGGACATGCATAAGATTTTTCAGCTATTCATTAAGAGTTAAGCCAAGTTCTTCCGTCCCCACAAAAGTCTGGATTTGGTTAAAGCTTGGTAAAGCAAACTACATTCACAACAACTGAATTTTCTTAAAGTGACCCCCCTTAAATGACAGTAATAGAAAATAATTTCCTGGCCAGAATTTAACTAGCTTCACATGACTTTGGCTGTGCAGACACAACATTTTGTTCTAGAATCAATGGAGTATGACTACTCCCCCCCCCCATGTAGTCCACACAAAATCTAAATTTACTGCATCTTTTTTGCCCCTGAAAAGCACTTCTTGAGAAAATGGTTTCATTCCAAAAATAAAAACTCGTTGCAGATTGAGTCTGCATTACTCTGCAGTGTGTCCATTTGAAAACAGATGTTAAGTGGCCCTGGCAATTGGGGCCAGGTGTATCCACACAAACTCAGTGATGCTGAGGGAGTGAGTGTACACCAAGATTACAATTCACACTTCCTTCTTCATGTATGGGGACAAAACAGCATGAATAACCTAATAAAGGGGAGGTTTTTTTTCAAATGTGTATCAAGTAACCATACACCCCTTTGTGGATGGCAAGATCTAGAAGCAATCTAGATTGAAAGCATTCTGAGAACTAGCATGAACAGTTCCATACTGGCAGGAAAAAACCCTACATTTTTCTGTTGCAAACAGATTAGAGTGTACATAGTCTTTATCTGAGGCCTCCTTCAGGGTCTCCCTCACTCTTACCCCCAAGATTCGCATGGTCAAGCTGAGTATTACTCAAGGACAAGTTACTGAACCACTCAGTGTATCAGGTAATATGGAAGAAGGGTGAGGACATTATGACCTGAAATGGAAGGGTGAGATGCTTAAAGGCCAGCTCACATGACCACCTGGCTGCTCACAAAAGCCCAACCCCTTTGGAGTTAAAATTTTGGGATGTTTCTGAATCCCTAACTTTTAAAAAAAATTGATTAGGCTTGCTTTAATTGTTATGCTGCAGTACACTCCCAGTACCTTTTCCAGAAGATAGAGAAGGAACCAGTAAATAAAATGACATATTAATTATTTTTAAGACTTCAGCATTTCAGAGAAAATAGAGCTAAAATCCTGGAAAACACAGGTTTTTCTATGGTATGGTGGTATAACGAGTAATACAAAAGTATTATCAATATTAGAGGATGAAGCAAGAGTCACCTTAAAGAAAACCATAGTGAGCTCATGCACTCCAATTAGATCTTCTCTTTTGCCCATCATAGCTAATGAAGCTATGACATAACCGCTCTATAAATTTTGGACAAACACTGATTTTAGCCAGCAATATCTGGACTTCAACATTGGCTTTTTAAAAAAATAAATAAATCTGGATTTAGTTTACAAATCAACATCTTTATCTCCCAGCACCTCAGTTAAACACACTCACAGCAGGAAGATGAGCTTCACAAGTATGGACAAACTGCACAAAGCATATTGCATTACACAGCCTCTAGAGATCACTCTATCAATATAGGAGAATCCAAGCAACTAGGTGCATGGTGACTCCTTTATCTGGAAAAGCATCTGCATAGATTGTGCTGCATGTTGAGGAATGTCCCTAAAGACAAACATGCTTTCTAATCAATACAGCTTGCACATACTGTATTATTGTCAGGGATTTTGAGACTCACAGGATCTCAAGCTGCATCCTAGCCCAAGCTCTGCTAATCTTGTGCCTCAGAACCCTCCTCCAGGTGTTGAAGGGAACAGGGATGTTCAAGATTAGTTATTGCACCTGATAGGCAGTACAAAGTCTCTCTGGTTTGGTCAGGCCTGGTAAAAATAGAAGGAATCTGGCCTCCTGGCTTTGTCTGGCCAACAAAGCAGCACCTTTGGCTTGTTGAATGTCAAGATCACACTTCTCCCTTCAGATACTGACTATAAAGAATATATCAGATTTCAGCACAGCCATCCAATATTACAGCTTGGCCTTGGCACTTTTATGGTTACAGACTGCTTGAATACAGTCAGTACAGGGCTCTGGACAACCCAGCTTCATGAACTGCTGGAGCTCAAAATAGGAAACTTTAGGTCTCATGTTGATGAGCTACTGAATTGCATGTTGCAGCTTCTACCCAGGCAATTTAGGATCCTTGGACCCACTCTGACTGACTTTAGGATCCACCTGGACAAGGAGGAGTATAAAAGGGTTTCCTGTTCTGGTGAAGCTTTGCTTGGTCAACAAGTTCTTCCTGTATTATGTGGCATTCCTGTATCCTTTGACTGTCCTTTAGCCCTGAATTCTGGGCTGCTTTTCTTGATCCTGCCTCCTGTTTCGTCCTTTGGTTCTGATTTACTTTTCAGTCTTGGTTACTGGCTCCATCCCACACAGCTACTGGTTCCTGGCTCCCCTCAGACTGCTGCCTACAACCCAGCCCTGACAATGACAGAGGGCTACCCACTGATTTCCCTTTATAGCACATCAGAGAGTGAGCAAGCTCTCAGCCGGAGGAAACAATGTCAGGACGATTGGGGTCTGTGATGTCTATAGCAGAGCTCTCAGCAGAGTGATGGGCAGGGTATGAGAAACTGAGGAGTGCTTGCATATAGAAGTCTTTTGTGTAGTGGTTTGCAAGCTAAAATCTAATTTTGGAAGTAAAGCACACTAGAGACAGGAAAATACAAATAATAAAAAAACAAAGTTGAACACGAATCTAATTTAGGGATCTTAAAAGTCTCCTGTCTGGAGAACCGGCAACTCTTTTACATTCGTGAATATTATAATATATATTATTACATATACAGACTGTTCTGTACCAACCTGTGAACTCCAAGCCATCTTTCACAAGGCTGGTAATAAATGCATGCACAAGATCATACTGCTTTATATCAACCAGAACCATACCTTATAACAATTTATACAGAACAGAAGCTGTTCTCTTAACAGTGATATGGTGCCCCATTAACCACATTTGTAAGTTCAAGGGGGGGGGAGAGTTAATTAACTATTAGCTAATTTGCATTTAGTAGCATTTAATATGCACCTATTGACTTTTTCCTAACAATGTTAAAAACCTTCATTTCCCCACCATGATAGTGTTCAGGACATTGTTCACAGGAGTCAATATATGATTTTCACAATGCAGATCTCAATCATTGTTGCCCACTGGATGCATATTAGGTGCAATTAGACTAATTGTGCATTCTGTTCCCCATTCATACAACACAGACATCTCAGTAAGCAATATAATGCAGATTGGAATAATTGTTGCATATCACAGAAATAATTATCCCAATTACACAGAAGCCTGAGCACCCAGTCATTGCTTTTTTGTGTGGGTCTGATGACAACAATCTCAACCCTGATGCTGTGTCCAGTATACTGACCCATAAAAATGAATATCTGACTTTTGCATAGAGAGGGGGCAGTCAAAAATAGTCATAGGATTGTTAGGATTTGCTAATAACAACATCTTCTGTAATGAAGAGCTGCAAATTTCTTTTACTGCTATCTCTTTCTAGTTGCATAAAAATTTATCCACTAGAGATATTTGCTGAAAATATTGCAACAAGCTCCAGGTAAAAAGAAGCAAAGTATGCAACTTTAAATCATTTGGTACATAAATAAAAATATACATTAATGTATCATTTGTTTATTAAAAGGTCCTTAGAAACATGTGTCAAGCAGTACAGACTTTCTGCAACATTTTGTTCAAATCTTCTCACAGCAGGCAGCTTACTCAGTCTGAAAATTAATTTGAAGAAACATGACTGACCACTGAGTAATTTTAGCAATAGTTTTTGCTGAACCTTTTGTGGTAAACAATGTTGTTAGCTGAGCAGAAGAGTGACTAGACTTCAAAATGAATAGGCCTACAGGCAAGTACTGAAATACTTCATAGCCCAATAGTATGCTAGAGATTCTTTTATTATGAGTAAAGCACATTAAATTCCTAGGCAGTCACCACACTAAAACACACACACAAGCAGAGAATGAATCCACATTTAATTCTTTACTTCAGATCCTGGAAACTAGGAGTATGCTTCCGAAATCTGCCCTACAAAATATTTTATAAATCAAATTGTGTTTTCATACAGTGAAAACCAAAGTATATTGTTATGGGTGGCATGTAACAATATTTCTAAATAAGAGAGTCTATGTTTGAGTCTATGTTAGGGCTGTCTTTAGCAACAGTCACCCCCCACCCCAATACATGCACCCCACAACCCTTTGCATAGTGTTTTTGCTACAGCACCAAATTGAAAAGACTTCCCATTTCCTAAAACCTTATTGGATCACAGATGTTTCTACTATTCAAGAACTCTGGAATCCAGCAGATTACAAGGTTTCAGCTCTCTTGGCTCAGTTTTCAGGGTCAGCTCCAGAGGGTGGCAGGACTGGACATTTCCCAGGGTCCCAAAACAAACAGAGGGCCCAGCAACCTAAATGTGATATCACTTCCACTTTTCACAAATTATCCAATGAGATCAGCTAAGGAAATTCTAAGCTTGCATGGCCCTCCTCTTCTAGGTTAGAGAGACTCACGGAAGGTTCCTCCTAAATCCTGGAACCAGAGTTGTCTGTATGCCTGCAAGTTTGCCTGCTGGTCATCCCAGCTACAAATGGGTATATAGGAAACCAATCCAGCCCCACCCATTGTTCCACCCTTCTCAGTGTTCAGCTCTTCCTTTCTGTTTTACCCGCTATCAGCTTTTCTGGGAAAATGCCAAGCTTCTCCTCCCCCTCCTTTTCCCCTCCTACTTCGGGAAGACAGCCTGTCACGCAAGCTCCTGCCTTCCCCTCTCTTGTCTCTCCAACTGCCAGTGTGCATCACAGACTGTTTCCCCTTCCACCTCCTTATTGCACTTCCACTCCCAAGTTAGTTTAAACATTCTTTGCCCCTGAGTATTGAAGTTTTTGCTGTCCTAAAACCTCCCTGGTATGTCATGGGGAAATGGCTAACAATTATTATCATGAGGGAGATATTTATCTAATGATTTTATTGTCTGGCTTTGGAATAATGGTCAAGTGTCGCTGTTAACACAACCTGTTAAAATACAGTTGCTTGGGAACCTGCTCTGCACCCACATATTTGCTGCAGATTCACCTCCCTGCTTTGAGATATTGTTAAAATGCTCCATTCTTGGAATATTGTGTACAGTTCTGGTCACCCCTGTCTCAGAAAGGATATTGAAGAGCTGGAAAAAGTAAAGAACGATTATTGAAAGACTGGAACAACATTCTTGTGAGGACGACAACTTAACTTGGCTTTTTAGTTTAGTAAAAAAGGTAACTAAGGGAGGGACATCATAGAGGCCCATAAAATTATGAATGACATGGACAAAATGGATAGAAATCTTTATAGAATTCAGGGTTCAGGATCACCTAATGTAATTAATTGACAGTAGACTCAAGTCAAACAAAAGTACTTTCTCCACTGCTATGCAATGTGGTAATAACCACTAGCTTAGAGGGGTTTTTTAAAGACATGTAGAGAAAATTTAATGGAAAATAAGTCTGTTAAAGGTTCTTAGGCCTCTCTCACAATGGGTATTCACTGTGTAAGAGCCACAGTTCTTCACTCACTTTTAAATATCATAACTGCTTTCCCCATAGCCACAGCCTTGGATTCCAGGAGAAATCAAGCATGGCTCTTTCTCTCAGCTGCCTAGCCTGTAGCATGCTTCTAGCTTCTAGCTCAAACACACCACTCTGGACTTGAGGGAGGGGGCCCACCCATTTGCTTTCTGGTACAGAGCCTATAAGGGATGCGGGTGGTGCTGTGGTTTAAACCACAGAGCCTAGGACTTGCCGATCAGAAGGTCGGTGGTTCGAATCCCCGCGACGGTGTGAGCTGCCGTTGTTTGGTCCCTGCTCCTGCCAACCTAGCAGTTCAAAAGCACATCAAAGTGCAAGTAGATAAACATGTACCGCTCTTGCGGGAAGGTAAACCCTGTTTCCGTGTGCTGCTCTGGTTCGCCAGAAGCGGCTTAGTCATGCTGGCCACATGACCCAGAAGCTGTACGCCGGCTCCCTCGGCCAATAAAGCGCGATGAGTGCCGCAACCCCAGAGTTGGTCACAACTGGACCTAATGGTCAGGGGTCCCTTTGCCTTTACAGAGCCTATACATAACAACCCATACTTAGGGGGCCATTATGGCTTTTGCCTGGTTAATTCAGCAGTTGAATCCAGGAATTGGAAAAGACTCAGACATACAGCCCAACCTCCTCCACAAACTCACAATAATATTGTTTTCATGCCCTGTCCGTGAGCCTTTCATTTGCCCCAGTGGGAAGCAGGATGCTAGACTAGATGGACTTTTGGTCTGATCTTGCAGGCTCATAAGAAGTTCTGAAAAGAGTCTGTTGCCCTGGCACTGCAGATCTGAAAGGAAGAACCTACTGGCATCTGCCAGGACAGCTGGGGGTCTGCACAACCTGCTTTCCAAAAAGAACAGCATAGCAAGGGGCCAATCTGGCCCTATGCATCAGCCAGGGAATGTGCAGCTGTTCCAGCGCTTGCTTTCCTCTTCCCTCATCATTTCTTCTTCCTTTTGAATCTATTTGATTGTGAGCCTGCAGGCAGGGTTATCCTTTAGTATCTCTACAGTACTTAGAAAAATGACAGCTGCTAAGTGATGATAATGAAGGTACTGACTTGTCACAGAGCTGAAAAAAGTTCAGTAGCGCCAGGCTCTGACTAGATCATTTGGATTTTTAGGAAATCCAAATTCTCTGCATGGAGACTGCTCTTATGGCAACAGACTCCAGTATTACTTTGACAGTCTAAGGAAAGTGGTCAGAGGGTCAGACATTCCGTTAGGTTTGCTTCATGATACCCTCTCCTCTCTTCTGGCAAACAGCCTCTCTAACCTTCAGAAGGGCATATGTGCACAGAAGCATGCAACGCTATAATCCAGCACACGTTATATCTGCTTTCAAAAATCCAGAATTTCCCCTTGAGAGAGAAAAGTACAGGGAATGGGAAAATACATATGGTAGAAAATGTATCATCAAAATATGCCTGAAAGGGAGAAATGAGATAAACAGCTCTTTAAATCAATCAATTAAACAGTGAACATTTTTTCTTTGTTCATAACAGAGCTAACAGTGCCTTTCGTATTATTGTAATCTTTAATATGGACAATTTAAAAGGCCGTATTTGCATTGGAAGTGGTTAACCACAGTCATGCTGAATCAAACCGAGAGCTGTTTTAAAGGACACGCAGCTATCATGGGGAAAAACTGTATGTGGATAACCACATTGAGCAGTTGGCATTGTTTCCAGTAACAACACCACAAAAACTCCTATGATGAATTTCTCCTTTTAAGCAGAGTTGGGGGAAATTCTGCATGGTGCAAATGCAGCAAACTTGCTAAAGGTAAGCTTGTCTAGGTCTGATCAGTGCTTGGATGAGAGACTGCCTGGTACCCCTCTCTTTGCTGCCGACAGGAGTATCATGAAACAAAAGTGGAATATAGGGTGTAATATAATAAGTTAATAAATATGCCATGCTCAGTGGAGATCCAGAACGTTACAGGTTAGCTTCTTGACTGCATAATGTGTCCTTTTTTTCACCAAATGGGGAACATTCACAGTTAATAGTTCATCACAATTTATCTCAGCTCTAATTATTCCTCTCCACACACTTCCTTGCAAGTCAACAGCCATCATCTAGCACTTCACACACAAGAGGATAGACTGGTGGAGTGACTCAGCAAGGAAGACAAAAGCCACATTGGTGGTATTCCCTCCCAGCACTACAGCAAAGTGTCTTGATGAGGTATTGCTGCTCCAAGGCAGTGGGCAGCTGCAACTGCAGGAGCACTGATAGCCACAGTAGATGTTATGGGTTAGATTTTAGCAGTGGCGCGACGCAGTTATATTGGCAGCAGGCCCCTGGTGCCTGGCCTTATGCTGTGCTGGCATCTGTGATCCTCATGGGATGTCAGTGTTACCTTCTGATCATGCCAGATGGCTGAATTGTACATGAAGGGCAGTTCAGTGATTCATCTCCTTAAAAAATAATAATGAAAAGCTGCCATGAAGGGCTGAAATTTGGGGCAGTGGAGGAAATGGACTAGTAAATATCTTCCTGTTATTTGACTGCTCAAACTTGACCCCATTAGATGCTTCTGTCTTGCATGGAGGACAAGGCTATCAGTGTCTACAAGCCGCGATGACGGTGTTGGAGGCAATATGCTTCTGAATGCTAGTTGCAAGGAATCAAAAATATGGAGAGTGTTGTTGCGCTCATGTCTTGCTTGTGGTCTTCCCATAGGCATCTGGTTTGCCACTGAGAGAAAAGGATACTGAAATAGATAGGCCCGGTCTGATCAACCAGGGCATTTTTTTATGATGGAGAAGATATGAGTTCACATCTTTTTCTCCACAGATGGAAAAACAGTTGGGGCATGGAAGAGGCCAACTTTCAGAAGACAAATGGCCAGGAAACAGTTAAACAGCCTTATTCCCTATCAATCATCTCTTCAGTGTTTTCATTTTTAAAAATTTGGACGAAGAATTGCAGAACTTTCCTGCATGTGCAGATTGGCCCAAAGAATGGACACAAATATTAGCAGAAGTTGGGATCCAAAGGCAATGTGATATCTTTACCTACAAAACAAAGCTATGGTGTGAGAATTTGATTGCAGATTAATTTTTTGCTTGACTTGCTTGAAAGTGGAACCTGTTAGTATGAAAGGTATATAGTAAATAGAAAGTATATTTTGGTACAATGTTTTCCTCATTTTCAATTGTATATATTAATTAAAATACTTTCTATACATCATGTAAAGGTACTATTTCAGGGTAACAGAGAAGATTGAACTGGCTTGATTTTTTCCCCCAGCACCACGCACTGTGATGAAGATGTAAAGGTAGTTTAAAGGCTAAATATAAAATTTAATATAAATAATTAAATGTAAGTGATGCAAAATAGGTGAGGTTAAGTAACATAGTTTTATGCTAACATAGATTGTCCATGAAAATTATTGGGTAAATACATTGGGTGTAGATGGGAAGTCATGTGTAAAGATATGAAATGTAGAATAATAGAATGGAAGATGATTGATATTGTAGTTAACTGGAAAATTATTAGTGTTTTTTCCTTTGGTGGTCTTTATTGTTTCTATCAACTTGTAATGCAAATTCTACGTTATGTTTCTTTTTGAATTTATCAAATAAGGGGGGGGGGAGAGAAAGAAAAAGAAAATTATTTAAAAGTGTGTTTTGGGATCTCTAAATGCAGAAGATGCTGACATTTCGAAGTCTGAAAAACTCTGTTCCTTGGAGAATTAACAATGCACTCCCACCCTGGAATCATGTTTGCTGGGCAGGAGATAAAATCACTACTGAATTCTGTTACACTGGTGGAATGTCCAACAACACTGACACTGTCAAATTATCCATTGTGATTCTGTTATGTCAATCATACATATCACTGGTTTAAGCCCCATGGTTGGTGATGGGTGGAGGAAGAGACAGAACGGACAGAAGTGCCTGTTAGTATTGCTATGTTATCTCTTGTTTTTACTTGTATTGTTTTGCTTTCTGCTTTGCTGCTGGGAGTGCACGCGATTACAATTAAATTAGGCTGGCGTGTGACCCTGGCATAGCCCTGCGTAGCAACCACTGGCATAACAGAATCAGTCTATGAATCTAAAACACAAGACTGAGATGATTTCAAATTTATTCTCACCACTTCTCACAGCTTCTTAAAAATTTTGTCACATCAAGCAGGACAAAAATGTCACATGAAGCTGCTGTATGTTTAAATGTGTTGGTTCAGCATGACTGAAATGGCATACCATTGGCATGGTATTTAATTCACAAATGTGAGCTAAATAAATAAGAGAATAACTAGAACCATTTTGCTCATCTCTAATATTTAGTATGGACATTTAATGGTAAAAGGCTCCCTGGGGAACAGAAAACTCACCCAACGTTTGTTTTAGAAAACTGAATAAAGGTTTTTCAAAGCTCTCACCGTATGGTTGCTTTGGCCATTTACTTTTTCCACTTCAAATCCTACTGCTTGTTTCAGAATCTTTTATGCAAACACAGATTAATAGATTTTAAAAACTGCAGGCTCAGTGAAGAGATTAGTTATCCTAGTAATGATATATTACTGGGTACAGTCCAAATTCTACATTCTGATACACCTGGGCAACCCCAGTCTTGCATCCAATCATAAGCAGCTTCATTTGGAAATCCAGCCACGTTTGGAACTATCCCAAGCACAAAACTAACATAATACCTCACCTATTATATGAGTCAACTGAGGTTATCAGAGGTCATCCTGTATCATACATCCATATTTGTTTCTGTAAGAGAGAATGTCTCCCTCCCCCAATAATGCAGTAGATCCTAGTATTCTATTGTGAACAGATGATCAGCCTAACTGTTATACTCTAATTCAAATAACTGTGTTGCTAAATGCTCCTGATCAATTTTCAACATTTCTTGGTAAATCATAGAATTTTAGTGCTGGAAGGGACCCCAAGCGTCATCTAGTCCAACCCCCTGCAAAACTGGAAACTTTAACCTTTATGTGAAAAACGCACATTTCTGCACCCACAGCCAAGGCCTATGTATAAAGAAAATTCATCCTGTTCCTCATTGCAGCTTTGCAGGCTGAGAGAAGCACATTAGGTGTTCTCAAGGGCTTGTGGGTGCTTGTTGTATTCTTATTATTTGAAGTGCTGGCTATCCTACAACATCTCATAAACAGCTTTTTCTTTTTTAAAAAATCAGGGTGAGGAAATCAAAAGTTTACACTGTGGTAGGTGGGGCTATTATTGAAATGTAAATCCACAAGTTCTCTCAAGGGCGCTGAACTAGTCATACAATTCTTTGATTATTGGCCTATAAGTCTGCACCAATATGATACAAATCCAAGGAATATAGATCCCTCCATGACTACCAGGCAGAAGTGATCAGAGAATGCCCTGTCATCATTAGGGCATTCTTTGCCTTATATTGCCACAAGTTCAGAATGACATGCAATAAATCTGTTTGTTGCACTTTCTTTTTGATGCAACCAGTAGATACAGGGTTATGTGGATTATTGGCCAAATCCAACATAACATTACTTATTTCCTTGAGTAAAGGTAAAGGGACCCCTGACCATTAGGTCCAGTCGTGGCCGACTCTGGGGTTGCGGCACTCATCTCGCTTTATTGGCTGAGGGAGCCGGCGTACAGCTTCTGGGTCATGTGGCCAGCATGACAAAACCACTTCTGGCGAACCAGAGCAGCACACGGAAACGCCATTTACCTTCCGCCGGAGCAGTACCTATTTATCTACTTGCACTTTGACATGCTTTTGAACTACTAGGTTGGCAGGAGCAGGGACCAAGCAACGGGCGCTCACCCCATCACGGGGATTCGAACTGCTGACCTTCTGATCAGCAAGTCCTAGGCTCTGTGGTTTAACCCACAGTACCACCCGCGTCCCATATTTCCTTGAGTAATTAGATGCTAATGTTCAGTGTCTTCTCATGAGAATAAAAATCTCCCTGGTGTGGTTTTTCTCCCCCATTTTTATGCAGTCTAATCTTAGTTAACCAAACCATTTCTTTGCCTACTTATCGGAATGGATTTTTGTCTTTCCAAACTTAAGTTTTAGATTTATGGTAATATGATGATTAATACGAATTTAGAATAATAGAATCATAGAACTGTAGAGTTGAAAGGGACTCCTAGGGTTATCTAGTGCAACCCTCTGCAATGCAGGAATCTCGGCTAAAGCATCCATGACAGATGACCATCCAGCCTCTGTTAAAAACCTCTAATGAAGGAAAGTCCACCATCTCCTGAGGGTGTCTGTTCCATTGTTAAACAGCTCTTACCTTGTGTGTATTTTTCCTTCAGGTTGGACCTGTCCCTTTCTATTCAGAATAAAATCCTCTGATCCATTCAGTTTAGCAGCTAACAAGAGGTAGCCATGTATAAGATATTCTGCAGTTGGAAATATTCAGTGCATTACTATTGGAGCATGTTTCTTCCTAACCCCCAGTAGGCAGTGGCTGTCTTAAATCTTTACTAATAAATGTAAATCTGTTTCAAATGCTTGCTTTGTTTATTAATGTTTCTGAAGACTAAAAAATACCATGCTTTCCATAAATGTGTCTAACATTCCAACCAGAAGTAAATCCCTCTATATTTAGCTGGGCTTACTTCCAAGTAAGTGTGCAAGGGATTGCAAAGCAATTTACACACTTGCCTTAAAATTGTCCTGAATTCAGAATCACTTCCTTCCCAGATAAAATGCATTGATTGGGCTCAGTTACAAGCAAGGTAAGATCCATTGGATACAGCAGAGCTTATTTATTGTTAAACATGCTGCACACCTTCTGGGATCTTGCAATGTATTTTGTTTCGGATGTTACAAAACAATTTGCAAAGGAATTATACATTGTGGGGAAATGTATTTTCATGTATTCAATGGTTTGTGTTTTGTATGCATTCTTCTTTAGCAAATAATGACAGCCAGAATAAAAGATTATAATATCTTCCCTATAGCTTGTAGTAGTCTAAATTTGCTCATTCCTTATTTGATACATCACATACTGGTCTGGCTGATATTTCAAACTGAAGCAGGTTGAAACCCAGAAAGTTTAATTGCAGTTGTAGAACCATAAACTAGTTCAGGCTCACTGAAGTGGAATGGTATGTGAACCTTAGCAAGCCTTTTCTGAGTTTTCTTCTGAATCTTTTGTTCATTTATCGCTTTGGTGGGAAAAATCACTGCTGGGGCCTCAGAATAGTTGAGGGAATAGCATCAGTAAGGGGCGTAATATTGAGATAGCAAATTGGAACATGATAACTTGCAGAAATGCATCCATTTGGTAACAGTGATTTGCTTTTATTATAAAAAAGGACAACTGAGTTGTCACACAACTTGAAACTGAAGGGGAAAAGTTCACTCTAGAGATACTGTTGAACAAAGAGCAGCAGCAGCTCTGTGGGTTAGCATGATACGTTTTATAATCATCCATATGGAGGTGTTACAAATGAAAAAACCTCACAGGCACAGATCCCATGTTGCTGAGCCTGCACCAGATCCATTCACCACTCTTTTCCACTCAATGTACCATTCATGCACCACACGCCACTTCAAAGAGACACAGTGAAATCTGAGTAGCCACCCCTAAAACTAGTAGAATTATTTTCGAACAAAGACTTGCCATAGAAGAAACCTGAGTACACTGCAGGAAATTGGTTTGGGGGCTGGTGTTAATGTCCTGGTTTAGATAGAAACAGGTTAGACCTAAGAAGAGCCCAGCTGGGTCAGATAAAGGCCCAACTAGTCTAGTATTTTGTTCTCATGGTGGCCAACCATATACCTCTGGGAAGCCTGGAAGGAGGACCTGAATGCAGTGTCCTGTCTTGTGAATCCCCAGAACTGGTATTCCACAGACATAGTTGAGGTAGTACATAGCCATCAGAGCCAGTAGGC